TCAAAAACTTTTCTTCCCAGGCTGGCTTTGCACAGAGATCCTCAGATCTCAGCCTCTTGAGTAGCTAGGATTAAAGGTGAGAGTCACCAGCATCCAGCTCATGTTTGGTTTAAACCAGGGATAGGAAACGTTTTGTTCCCTAGCTCTGTCAGGTTACATAAGGCCCGCAAAATCACTCGATTCATGTTAAGACAGATCTGCATGGGCTTTTGGTCAGCTGCCCGTGGCTGACTGCCTGCGTTTGTAATTGTGTAGAGCCCATGAATTGTGTCATGAGTATCCAAATGCAGAGCCAGATGCTGGCGGGTTATGCCTGTAATCTTAGCGACTCAGGAGGCTAAGATCCAGAAGATCATCATTCACAGTCAACCTGGGCAGAAAAGTCTTGTGTGATTCATTTCCAATTAACCAGCAAAAAGCTGGGCTGGAGGCATGGCTCAAGTGGTAGACTGCTAGCTGAACAAGCAACCTGAACAAGTATGAGGCGCTAAGTTCCAACCCCAGTACTGGCCAAAAAAAAAAAAAAGTTCAAATGGACCTTTACAGAAAAATCTTCTCATAGTTTAAACTATGAGCCAATAACAGTAACAGACATAGAACAGGACAAGCACATGGGCCCAAATCCCACAACTTCTATTGTGCTCATGGTGGGTGCTGTGCTGTCCTCTTTATAAAACAAGGCCACTTCCATGATTATAAAAGAATTCAGTAAGCAGAGCACCTGTGGCACAACACCTGTAATCCTAGATACACAGGAGGCCGAGATCCGAGGATCACACTTGGAGGCCAGTGCAGGCTGACAGATCCTTGAGACTCTTATCTCCAGTTAACTATCAGAAAGGCCAAAGTGGAGGTGTGACTCAAGGGGTGGAACACCAGCCTTGAGTGAAAAAGCTCAGGGACAGCGCCCAGGCCCTGAGTTCAAGCCCCACCATTGATCAAAACACAACGAACTCCAAACACTACCACAAGACATGAAGTTAGGAGAAAGAGATAGGATGCTAATAGTAAGGAAAGCTTCCTCAGATTTTTTTTTTTTTTTTTTTTTTGGCTTTGAAAACTGCACTTCTGTACAGAGATGGCGGGAGAGAACCATCTGCCCAGGGACACGGCGACTGTCCTTGGGATTGGGATCATTTTCCGATTTGCACTCGCGTTCCTTTTCCCCTCCCCCTCCTTTTCTTCTGGCTCCCCTCCTTTCTTCCCTTCCTTGTGTTTTCTTTCTTTCTTTCTTTTCTTTTCCTTTTTTTCTCTCTCGCTCTCTTCTTTTTTAAAATTAAGCATGTAATTCAGCATACTTATAGAAAATAGGGACATCAGCTCCTATGCATTGAGCCTCGTGAAAGGTTTTTTTTTTTTTTTTTTTTTTGCCAGTCATGGGCCTTGAACTCTGGGCCTGGGTGCTGTCCCTCAGCTCTTCAGCTCAAGGCTAGCACTCTACCACTTGAGCCACAGCACCACTTCTGGCTTTTTTCTGCTTATGTGGTGCTGAGGAATCGAACCCAGGGCCTCATGCATGCAAGGCAAGCACTCTACCACTGAGCCACCTTCCCAGCCCCCTCGTGAAAGGTTTTATATTGAAAAAATCAGTCGGGCTGGTAACACTCTCACTTGAAGCACCAGAGAGGCCAAGGGTCTTGCCTAAGCACACACAGTTGCACGTGGACTGTGATCTTTTGATCAGAAGCTGGCATTTTCCCACAAACTCCTGTCTCTCTGGATGATCCGAGAAAGGATCCCATAGAGGCCCATGCTCCAGAGACCCACCAGATTGGGCTCCCCGCCCTGCCCCCAGCCCGGGTCCCACCTGAGCCAATCCCCTCCACCCCAAAGCTGTTTCATAATGACTAACCCACACGTTCCCCTCCCAGCACGGTGAGACCTAAAACCAGCTCGATCAATATTTTCTCCTATTGAGCTTGGGTGCTCTTGCCTTTTTGAGATGGAATGGAGCTCTCCACCAGGGTCCTGTTCAAATTCATCAGCTCTGCTTACCTGTGGAGAGGACAGTACAGGCAGCCGATCCACAACTACCATGAGTCCACCGCTTCATCCTGGCCCTGTCACTAACCATTTGCAACCTGAAGTGTCTCTCTCTCTCTCTCTCTCTCTCTGTTTTCCGCCTCTGAAATAAAGGACAACGCACTTAAAAAGTCAATCAGTGCTCTGGAGAAAAAGGATGTGTGTGTGTGTGTGTGTGTGTGTGTATTAGGGAGCGCAAAACTCTAATTTGGGATGAAAAAGGAAACAACTCCCAAGTGTGGAGCCCCAGGGCCTTTGCATTTGCTGCCTAGGGCACAGGAGGTAGGCATTTTGTCCTACTTTCTAGGACGTTTACCCCAGATGGTCACATGGCTGTCAGATTTCAGATGTCACTTCTCTTCAAAGTCCTTCCTGCCCACTGACTCAATGGCTCCACTTAGCTTTCTGTACCATCAGAAATGCTCTCAGCTGTTTATCTACTTGTTGAGGCAGCTTACTGAGTGAATTGCAAAACAGTGAGCTCCAAACCCAAGCCATTTCCTTCCTTCCTTCCTTCCTTCCTTCCTTCCTTCCTTCCTTCCTTCCTTCCTTCCTTCCTTCCTTCCTTCCTTCCTTCCTTCCTTCCTCTCTCCTCTTTTTATATGGTGGCTGTGGTGGGAGGAGACTGGGTTTGAACTCAGGGCTTTGTTTAGCTAGGTAGGTGCTATGCCGCTTGAGTTATGCCTGCAGCCCTTTTGGCCTTGTTTTTCACGTAGAGTCTCATTTGTTTTTGCCAGAGCTAGCCTCGGATCCCAATCCTTCTACCTCTGCCTCCCGAGCATCTAACGTGACAGGCATGTACCCAGCTTGTTTTGTTGAGATGGGAGTCTTGCTAACTCCTTACCCCAGCTAGACTTAAACTGTGATCCTACAGATCTCCACTTCCTGAGTAGCTGGGATTGTAAGCTTGAGCTACAGTGCCCAACCCACTTCATGCCAGACTGCTCTGCCTTCCCGCGGGTTTCACAGCAGCCTGACCTGGTCTATCTGAGCCTCTCAAGTCCTTACAACTCGGACCAGCCTGTTCAAAAATTGAGTCTTTTGTTCAAATCTCATCTCCCCTCTTCTTTCTGGGGTGCCTTGGACTGCACAGCACATCTCCCTCTCCCCTGCCCCACCCCCCACGTTTACAGTCTGACGCTATTGGCTGCAATCTCTGAGGACTTGGGGTTGGGTCTCCCCAGGAGACAGGCAGTGTCCTCTTTAGTTCTGCCAGAGGACCAGGCCCCCTTCCCCCCCCCCCCCCCCCCCCCGCCCGGTTCTCCAGGCGGGAGGCAGCTCTTGCCTGGTTCTGGCCACAGGATTCCCCTCCCCGCGAGTCCCTGTCAGAGCCCACTGCATGCCACCTGCTCCCTTTCCCGACAGGCATCCCCAGCCTCCCTGCGGCAGCACCAGTGCCACCTGGACGTCCCTGCTGAGGGCCTGTCCAGGCTCCCTCAAGGCGGCCTTCTCCCTGGCCGGCAACAGCGTGCGCTGGCTCTGAAGCCCCGCCAGCGTCCAGCAGGGGAGCGTGGCGCCAGCCGCCTCTTCCTGGCAGTGTCCAGTTGCAGGATTCTCTGGGGGCTTCCTTGCAGAGTTCAGCGGGGTGGGGGGAGGGGGAGGAGGGCAGGGATAGTGGCTGCGGCCACTGCGGCTCCTCATAGACAGGAAGATGGGAGCTGAGAGACCACGGTGCTCACGGGCTCCTCTGTACTTCCTGATCCATTCTGGGGAACAGAAACCCCCCCCCCCCAGCCCCACCACGTTCCTTGGCTGTCTGCTGAAGGCCTTGTGTGGCAGCCTGGTGTCCTGTGTGCCCAGACACACGTCCTGCGGGGGTAGCTTTGTGATGGAGTGCAGTGAGGAGCCTGCCACGAGTGCAGGATGGGGGTCTGTGGGGGCCTGGCGCCGGCGGGCACCCCGGACGCCCCACTCACAGAGACCCTGGCTCAAGGGTAGGACTGCCATGGGCTCCTGCCAAGGCAGAGGTGGCGGGAACAGGCTGGGCTGGGCCTGGATGCCCTTTGGGGCCTCATTTTTTTGGAGGGGAGGGGGCTGGTACAAGGGCTTGAACTCAGGACCTTTTGGTCTTGCTTCAGCTTTTCCCACTCACGGCTGGTGCTCTACCACTTGAGCCACACTTCTACTTGTAGCTTTTCACTGGTTAACTGGAGATGAGTCACATGGGACTGTTCTGCTCAGGCTGGCTTTGAACCGTGATCCTCAGACCTCAGCCTCCTGAGAAGCTAGGATCACAGGCGTGAGCCACGGGTGTGAAGCATGGCCCTTCATTATTATTATTATTAACAGGGATGCCAGCAGACTTCACGCAGTAGAGGTGGGACTCGCCTGGCTCAGCCCCGTGGACCACGGTTATAAATGGTGACCAGAGCAACTCCCGTTACTGCTACCACCGCTGGCGTGCGCCCAGCAGTCGCCCCAAAGCTAGTGTTCTTGGCACAACACCCCCTTCCCACCTTGCATAGGGGCATGGTGAAGCCCTGGGGGGCGCTGAGGCTGAGGAAGTGGGGCGCCCGGGGGGAGGTGATGGTCCCAGGAGCCCTTGGGTCGCTGCCAGCTCGGTGCGCCTGCTGTCCGAGGAGAGACAGGACTAAAGGGGTGCTTTACAAGATTAATCTGGCAATGGATGCAGGATGCAAAACAGCAGAGCTGGGCATGCAGCTGGCTTGAGGCGGCCACTGCAGGCAGAGGTTGACTGGGCTCTTTGGTGGGGAAGAGGCTGGCCGGGCTTGGGGCCCTTCTGCAGCCTGCAGGGTGGACAGGAGGCCCCCATCCCCGAGTGTTTGGAGGTGTAGGGGGGAGGGAAGGGGAGGGTGCAGGCAGAGTCCCACCTCCTTCCAGGCCAATGGCGCTGCTGTGGCTACAGTCAAGATGCAGAATGGAACCAGATGCCCAGGGCCAAGGACAGGAGGGGGCGTGGCCACTACGTTCTGCTCTCATTTTATTTACAGCGGTCAGGACACAGGGGGAGCGTGGAGACATCTCACCCTCCAGTGCCGGGGCGGGCCTGGGAGCTGGGGGCAGCCCCGAGCTGGGGCAGCGGAGGCTGGGGCCCTCAGACCAGGGCGTGGAAGCTGTCCACCCTCTCCCGGTACAGGTGGTGGAACTGCTTGGCCAGGCAGTGGAAAGGGGCTTCGTAGTGGTCCATCTCCTTCTGGAAGACAAGAGAAAGCCTGGTTCTTTCCCATCCACGGGAGCCAGCGCCCATGCTGGGTCCCTTGCTTGGCCTCTGCCCACATCTGGGCCCCTTTCAGAAGGTGCTGGGTTACAGGAGGAAACTGAGAGCCAGAGATGACCAGGAATGGGAAGACAGCCACAGGCTGTGTGGCAGGATGTTCAAAAGAGACCCCTTCTTGGCTCAGCTGACAGGTAGATTGGGGCCACCCTGCCTGGAGGGTGGGAGTGAAGAAGGGGGACCAGGAGAAGCAGGGAAACCACATGGCTGCACAGGAGCCTTCCTGACCCCCAGACCACGGGAGGTATCAAGAGGGACCAGGCAGCCCAGGCCAGGAGGCCCGGGCAGGAGCCAGCACTGACGCCAGCCACGGTTCCCTTACTCTGAGTACGCCTGGGAGCTTTTTTTTTTCTTCTGTGGGGGAAGAGGGCAGTCCTGGGGCTTGAACTCAGGGCCTGGGCACTGTTCCTTAGCTTTTATGCTTAAGGCTGGTGCTCTACCACCTGAACCACAGCTCCAAGTCCAGCTTTTATGTGGCTAATTGGAAATAGGATTTCCTTGGATGTTTGCCTAGCTGGCTTCCAATCACAATCCTCAGATCTCAGCTCCTAAGTAGTTAGGATTACAGGTATGGACAATGAGGAGAACCAGGGGCCTGGGTCTCTTTCTATACAGCCACCTTTCCTGCGACGTGAGACCCTTTTTGGGATTAGCTGAGAGAGGACGGAGGCCCCTCCTAGGAGCTTTTTGGTTCTTCCTTTGTCGTCTTGAAGACAGGATCTCACGATGTGAGTCAGGCTGACCTGGAATTGATGATCCTCCTATCTCAGACCCCGAGAGCTGGGATTACAGGCACGAACAACTACACTCAGCTGCCTATTTGTTTTCTTCAGAAGTCGGCACAGAGCTCACCACAGTCCTGACGGTGGGAACCTGGAGGCATCATTGCTGAGCGGCTGGCCAAGGCGTGCCCTGAGCAGAGGCTGTGAAGTGTCCCCAACGAGACGGGGATGCCGCAGATGCATCATGTGCATTTCACAGATGAGTAGACCAGGCCCCGGCAGGTGCAGAGCCCAGCTGGCTGGTGAGGAACCCAGCCTGTCCCAGACCCTGGAGCGGAGCAGCCAGCCTTCCCAGGATGCAGTGGGAGGCTCAAGTGCACCGAGCGATGAGGGCCGGGCAGAAAGTCCCAGGGACCTTCCAGCCAGGGCCACCAAGTGGAGCCGAGGGGGGGGGGAGGGGTTGGGGGGATGGCAGAGGGAACTGGGGAAGGGGCAGAAAGATAGACTGCGTGAGCAGAAGGGCTCAGACCCTTGCTGTGCGGAGTCTCCCATCACTCAGTGTAGCTCGCCATGGCTCTGAGCAGAGCGGAGGCCCATGTGGTGCACAGCAGAATGGACTTGGGTCTCCCAGCAAAAGGAGTAAGGTGGGCAGGCCTCAACAGACACCCCGGGTCCTCCTGATGGAAATGGAGTTGCTTTCCAAACACTCCTGACTGTGGCGGGAGTCCTTGTGTCACATGACTAATCATAATCTCATGTACATAGTCTGGATGCCGATAGATAGGCCTATTTAAAGCCAGCATCCCTTACAGTGAGCCCAGATTAGCCCTCAATCTAGTTTAGGATTCTGGCCTCAAGAGCCCTAAGGCAGTTAAATCGACAATGGATGTCTGGCAACCGGAGGCAGAGTTGAAGGGACTATAATTCAAGGCCAGCCTAGGGGGAAGGAAGTGAGACCCTATCTCAAATACAAGCTGTGAGTGGTAGTTCATGCCTGTGATCGCAGCGGCAGGAGAGCTAGAAAAGGAAGGAGCATGAGGCTAGGAGGCCAGCATGGAGGAAAGCAGTAGATTCTCTAAACAACAAAAGAAAACAAGAGGGCTAGGGGTGTAGCTCAAGTGCACAAGCTTGAGGCCCTACGTTCAAACCCCAGTCACCCCCAAACAAACAAAATGATAACATGCGCAAAATACCTACCACATAGTAGACCCCCCACAAATGTTGCCGACCGCTAGAGGTTGGGGGAGGGGGCAGTCACCCCCAGGGAGTGAATGTGAATGCTTGTCGATTTGATACTGTCCTAACAGTGACCAACAAGGGATTTAAAATTTTCCCCTCACTTCTGTTGTAAGAAAATCTTTTTGTCTGTTTTGGCCCAAAAATGTCAAACACTGAAGGGCACGAGGAAGCCAGAGAATCACTGAGGACCCTCCTCTGGGCCCCACGTGTAAGAACAGGCCAGGTCGGAGAATGCCTGGCACTGCGGCCTGGCTGTATCTCAGACAGCGTGTGGTTACGTTTCCTTTTTAATTACAGCTTTCTGCACTGAGCTGCTGCTAGTACCAACTCAGGGGGGAGGAGTTAGCTGGCAGTCAGTACTGAGTACTTAGCCCGGCCTCCTCCAGCTCCATTCATCTCTGCCCACTGCAGCACCTGAGGAGCGTGGAACCCGCAGCCTGGGGGCTCTGGGTGAGGAACATGTGGGGCGGCTCTTCATTTCCGAGGCTGGAGACACGGGGGGCTCTTTGGGGGGCTCTCAAGAGTTGTGGGTGCAAACCCCCCCCAAGGTGGGCTCGACGGATGGGGACGGCCCTGCCCAGCACACGCTCCATTAATTTAACATTTGTGATCACGGGGCCAGAGGCATCGGTGGCATTTGTCTCTGTAGTAACAGTAAAAGCAAGATACTGGGGAGGCGTCTGCGCTAGACAGACAGCCGCCGTCTCCTGTGTGCTGTGCGTTGGATATTGCTAAGTGCTCTTGCCCTTCCCTTCCTAGGCTAGCGCTTTGCCGGGAGCTGGTCTTACGTCCTCGGCCTGCAGGGGGCGCCCGAGGCACCGTGCTGTCCATCACAAGCCAAGGGCTGCAGCTACTTCTGACTCCTGGTCCTTCTGAGGGCGGGCAGGCAGCACTGACTGCCACATTTCTTCCTTCCGGAAGTGGCCACATGGGACACTGAGGAAGCGCCTGTCTACATGGCCACTGGCTGTGGCCTCAATGGGTCCGGGGCAGAGGCCGCAGCAGAAGGAGGCCGAGAAGATGAGCCACTCCTGGAGGCCCAGACAGGGCATCTGGTGGCCCCACACTGAGCCACACTTCTGATCACGGCTGTGCCAGGCCTCCAGGCCTCTGGGCCACGCTGTCCAGGGCCACCCTTGTTCCCACAGGGCAAAGCTCACCCTGGGCACCTGACTAGTGCAGCCAGTGTCAACTGTTGGGCCTTGGCTGCAGGAAGTTGTGAGTCTAGAACCGCCCCCCCCAACACAGGAGGGGGTTCCGTGGTGCGGGGCAGCCTAGATCAGATCATGGTAGGAGTATGATAGCTGGTGATTGTCCGGCTTTGGGGGCTCCTGCTCAAGTGTGCTGGGCACTTTATGAGGTGGGGGCCTCCAGGGGGCTGCAGCAGGGAGGGACGAGAAGGAGCAGGAGGCCACGTGTTGCGGGTGGCTGGCTCTCGGCAGAGAGGAGGCCGCTATCCCGCACGAACTGGACGAGTGAGTCACTTTACCGCAGGACTGACTTGGGAAAGACCCCCAAAATACCACCGGGCCCACACTACCTCTCCCTCCCACATCTCCTGACAGAGACGCAGCTGTCCCCTGGGCGGGCCGCCTACGGCTTCAGTCAATCTTGCTCCACTGAGTGACGATCTGGAGCTGGAAGGTCAACGCCAGCTCCAGAGCGACTCTGCCAGGCTGCCTGGCATGTGTGAGGTCACCTGAGGGCCCTTCCTCAGACGCCCACTCCAGCTGGGGTACTCACCACGGACGTCTCAAACCATTCCAGCCCTTGGCCCAGCGCCCACGCCTGTGCCTGGTCTGCATCCACTGTGCGTCTGCTGGCTAGGTCCGTCTTATTCCCCACCAAGACACCTGCTCAGAAGAGAGAGCCCCAGTGTCGCACTGACCAGCGGCCGGCCATGAAGGCGGCTGGCAGAAGACAGGAGCCAGCTCGCTGCTTCTGACTGGGTGGGGAGGACCAGCAGGGTCCCTCCAGCTGCACCCCTCCCCCTCCCCCAAGGTCCGCAGAGGACAGGTGGCTGTTGCTTCTTTAATGGGCAGCTTTCTGCTTAGCCTTTTCTCAGGGCTTCATGTGTATCTGGGTCTTGACTTCTTGAGGCGAGGGCTACGATTTCTGTGAGCATTTGTGGTTAATTCCTGGCACATGGGACAAACTTACAAAATGGTCATTAGTGCTAATCTCGGGGCTGGGCTCAGAGTCAGGGACGCGGAGGTAAGCTGGCTGAGACCAGCTGTGTGGGCTGTGGTGAATGTCTTAGCCTGCTGTCCGGCCCGCTAATGAGAATCTGTTGATCTCACATAGGGATGAAAAATGAACTGCTTGAAAGCATTCAGAAGTGACATCATGACTGGACCCCCACATACAGGAAAAAATGAGGCTCTTTCAAGGAGCCTTCTGGAAGTATCAATCCATGTTACAGCACCCCCCGTCTTAGGATCCAGGGCCTCATCCCAGCCCTGCCAGGTGAGTAGCATGGTTCCTGCCATACCGAGCGATCTGAGAGGGCTAGGGTCTCACGCATGGCCCCCACAGAGCACAGCCAGGCCCAGTGCCCAGGCTCACGACTGTAATCCTAGCTACTCAGGAGGCTGAGATCTGAGGATTGCAGTTCCAAGCCAACCCAGGCAGGAAAGTCTGTGAGACTCTTATCTCCAATTAACCAGCAAAAGGCTGGAAAACAGAACCATGGCTCAAGAGGTACAGTGCCAGCCTTGAGCAAAAAAGGTAGGGAACAGCATCCAAGCCCTAAGTTCAAGCTCCAGGACTGGCACATGCACGAGTGTACACACACACACACACACACACACACACACACACACACGCAGAGCAGAGCTCAGGCTGCACTCGCCACCATGTAGGCCATGACCCTGTGCCACCTGCTCAGGGGCTGGCACTCCTACCTGGGAGTGTCATGCCTGGGATCTGGGACCGGGCTTTCTCCAGCCACTTGCCACAGTTGCTGAAGGATGTCTGGCTTGTCACATCGTAGACCAGGCACAGCACGTTGGGGTTCTCCCACTGTGCAGGGCCAGAGGACACGTCAGGAGCATGCAAGGGACTCCTTCCTGCGGCCGCGTGAGCAGGGGACATTTGGCTTCTGGGTTAGGGGTTGGAGTCAAGAAAGGTCACCCCAGGGGTGCCACAGCTCACCCCGGGGACACTTGGCAGCCAGGCTTGGTGGCAGGCAGGGGAGGAGTGGGAGGGCTCCTGTCTGGTGTCCATGTGGAGGTGCTGGGCAGTGTCTGGCCCAGCCAGCAGGCTTCAGAACAGCTGAGTGGAGAGGCTGAGGCTGCGCTCTGCCACCATGAAACCATCAACAGTGGCGAAACCTCCACCCTCAGCTCTGCCGCAGATAACAAAGGGGAAGGCCATTTCTATAAAATGTGGCTGTCCTTTGAAAGGGAGAGAAAAGCGGGGCGCCGGTGGCTCACACCTGTCATCCTAGCTACTCAGGAGGCTGAGATCTGAGGATCGAGATTCAAAGCCAGCCCAGGCAGGAAAGTCCGTGAGACTCTTATCTCCAATAAACCACTAGAAAAAACGGAAGTGGCGCTGTGGCTCAAGCAGTAGAGCGCTCGCCTTGAGCTGAAGAGCGTAGGGACAGCGCCCAGGCCCAGAGCTCAAGCCCCACGCCCCACAAACAACAACAACAACAACAATGGTGGGGGGGGGGGAGGAAGAGAAGGCTTTAGAAACTCAGGTCTTTCTCATGAGCTCTCTGGCTGGGGTTAGGGAGTATCACCGTGGAAGGCTCGCTAGTGGGACAGGATAGTGGCTGGTGGGCACAGTAGAGAGGTACTCAGCAAACCCAGGAGAGGGCATGATGGGAAGAGAGTCTGGGCCACTCTGGACAGGGAGGGCAGGGACACGTGGCGCCGCCTGGAAAGCCTGAGATAGGGACCTGAAAGGGATCTTCAGGATGGGGCTGGGAGGATCTAACCTGCAGCTTGGGGGTGGGTGTTCCCCGGAGGAGCTGGTTCTTTCAGTGACTTTCTGGGGAGCTCCATCACGGGGCACCTCTGGGTATGGGGGGGGCAGGGCAGGGGTTTAGGATGGGAGCTTGCTACTTGCCAGTCTGTCCAGCATTTCAGAAAACAGCTCCTTGCCCGCCGAGTCGAATATGAAGAGCTCCTGGAGAGAGAAGCAGGTCCCAGGAAAGACTGGGGGGGGGGGGTGGCACCCCGCTGTAAATCCTCCCCGCTCCCCGGCAGGAGACACGTATGTCCACGACCATGTGGAGAAAATGGAGTTCCCGTAGGGGTGGCACTGTGGCTCCTGCCTCACCCTGCGTGCGACACCCCGCCTGGAGAACAGGGAACTAAACAGCAGGCACAGGTGACCCTCCATTCCAAAAGGCCCTTCTGTACTTTCTCCACCAAATTGGTTTTCCAGTCTTAATAGTTCTTTTGAAAAGAGGTCACGGGGGGGGGGGGGGGGGGGGGGAGGTGCTGGGGGACTGAAGGCATTCAGCACCCATCTGAGGATGCAAAGGAAGGTGTAATGCTCCTTCCCACCAGTGTCAGCCTTCCCTAGCCCTGGGAGCCCCCCAGCCCACACTGCAGGACCCCCACCCCCCTGCATGGACACTGCCAGGCCAGCTTCTGGCCCTGGCTGTCTGTGCTGGCCACTTGTCAGCATCAGGGTCCGCCCTGAGTGCGGCTGCCTGGGCCTGGCCTAGGCCTTTTCTCACCTTTCCCCCGCTCCCTTGCTCATGGACTCTGGGATCGCCTCACGGGAGAAGGCCATACAGACACAGCATCCTCCAAGGTCAAGTTCAAGAGCTCCCCATTCACAGAGAGGGGAACCCACTCTCCTTCCTTCCCCTGGATCCCCTCGTGTGCTCAGACCATCTAGGCCTGGGCCTACCACTGTGGACACATCCCTCCCCCCGCCCCCCGCCCCCACGTGAGAGACCAGACCCAAGGAGCAGCTCACCACACTGTCGCCCGTGTCGGGAACCGGCACTGTCTTCACCACCAAATCCACCCCTGTGGTCTGTGGGATACCAAGAACACGGGCGTCAGGGGCCATAGTGGGGGAGACCCTGGCTCCCTGGGGTACCCCAAGCCTTCGTGTTTATGCTGTGACAAAAGTGCACAAGCCGGAGGCCTCCCTGGCGGCCACGGGGTGTCCCGTCATCGGCAGATTCTAGCGTGTCTTCTAGGAATTCTGCAGAGCCCCTCCCTCAGGGCCAGCCACTTTCTTTTTCCTTTTCTTCTGTGGCCGGCACAAGGGCTTGAGCACAGGCAAAGAGCCTGTCCTGCAGCTCTCTCACTCCAGGCCAGTGCTCTACCACTTGAGCTGCCACAGCTCTACTTTTGGCTTTTTGGTGGTTCATTGGAGATAAAAGTCTTCTGGACTTTCCAGCCCCGGCTGGCTTCCAACTGTGACCCTCAGCTCTCAGCCTCCTGAGAAGTTGAGGGTTACAGGTGTGAAGGCCAGGTGCCTGGCATCCCACTTCTTTTTAAGCCAGGGGTTGGAGAAACTTTTTTCTGCCAAAGGCCATAACTGTCATTGAAGGCCACACAAAACTGTTGGTGCTGGCGGACGTCCATCCGGGGCAGAGGCCGGGCAGCCGTGTCCATCTGGTACCAAGTGATTTCTCAGTCCTCACATGGCCTGCCCCTGCCCCGATGCCCCTCCCCCTGCCGCTCCCCGCACAGCCAGGCCTGGGCCCGCAGCTTACCAGAGTGTAGTTCTTCTGGAAATGCGCTCCGTCGCTGCGGAAGATCTGTGCCAGGGCAGTCTTGCCCACCGTTGGGTCTCCTGAGGAAAAAAAAAAAATGTCACTTTGGAGCCATCAGACTTGGGAACCGCCTGGCCCAGGGCATTGGTCTAGAAACCAAAAACCAGTTAGAGTTCAAAGCCGTGGTCCTCGGCTTTTCTGGGCGCAGGGAGGTCGCAGGCAGGGCCCTCCTGAGAGCCAGCTTCAAAGCTCTGAAGGCCAGAGCACATCTCGACATGTCCCACACGCCTTCCACCCAGGAAAGGATCCAGAGGGGAGCAGAGGTTCAGGAGGGTCCCGGAGCCCCCACAAAAGCAGCCACCGTGAGACACATCCCTTGGGGGAAGCAGTCACCTGACACTGGATGTTACTCGGGAGTCTGGATGGGAGAGAGGAGGGGGTGGGCTGGCGGGTGGCCTTGCTTGGCTGAGCCCACCTGAGTCGGCGCTGTCATCAGCTGTCATCAAGTATCTGCGGGCAGGGACTTCACATCTGGAAATCCACCGCCAAGTGACACGGTCTGTCTCCACCTTGGTGTGCATGTTTACAGCCGGGGAGCTGAGGGGAGCTGAGGGCCTCGCCAGGTTCATCTCCTGCCTGCTGGGTGTGCTGGCTCCCCTTGCCAGCCCCAGAGACCCACGCCTCAACACTAAAGATCTGCGGGGCGCCGGTGCCTCACACCTGTAATCCTAACTACGCAGGAGGCTGAGATCTGAGGAACGTGGTTCAAAGTCAGCCTGGGCAGAAAAGTCTGTGAGACTCTTATCCACTGAACCATCAAAAAGCTGGAAGTGGAGGTGTGGCTCCAGTGGTAGAGCTCCAGCCTTAGGTGAAAAAGTTAAAGAACAGTACCCAGGCCCTGAGTTCAAGTCCCAGTACAGGCACAAAACCAACCAACCAAACAAACAAACAATCAACCAACCAAACAAACCGAAAGATCTACAGGATTTATCTGAACCCTTCCTGAGACTTTGAGGGCAACTGAGCCTGGAGCTCCTCCCCTGCCTGACCTCCACAGAGACTTGCTTTGATTTGTCGATCTTTCCTACCTTGTCTTACCCATCACCCTGCCCCGCGCCCCCAGCACGTTTTCTTTTTTTTTTTTTTGTCTGTCGTGGGGCTTGAACTCTGGGCCTGGGCGCTGTCCTTCAGCTCTTCAGCTCAAGGCGAGCGCTCTACCACTTGAGCTACAGCGCCACTTCCGGTTTTCTGGTGGTTTATTGGAGATAGGAGTCTCACGGTCTCTCCTGCCCGGGCTGGCTTTGAACCGCGATCCTTAGATCTCAGCCTCCTGAGTAGCTAGGATTACAGGCGTGAGCCACCAGCGCCCGGCTATAATGCTATGACTTTTTTTTGGTCGGTTGTGGGGCTTGAACCCCAGCACGTTTTCTGCTCCACGATTACTTGGCCCTGGGAGGGGGTCTCTGAGTCGCTCCCTATTTCACCAATCATAACGTGCTGCTCCATGCATGACTTCTTGTCTGCCGCTCTGTTCGTGGCTCCATTTTTACTTTTCCCACCTATAATTTTCTCTTGTGAGATGATTACTTGACTACAGGTAGGATTTCGTTGTATGTGACTCCTCCAGGCTGGAGAGGGCCAGTCAGGACTTTTCTACCTGCTACCAGCTTCCTGGGAGGAAGCCAAGGTGTGCCCCCACCATGAACCGGTTAACTCCGGCCATGCCCCACTGCCACGCCCCCTCCTGTCAGCCCCATCCCCCACAGCCACTCAAACACCGTTTCTAGCCCATGCCAGACACGGCCCTCCAGGCCTTCACCACTGGAGCCCTCAGGGGTCCCAGACATTTCCCCTCCTCTGCCCCTTGACTGGACCCACCTCCCAATTCCAACTGGATCCAGTCAGACCTGGGCTCTTCCTGCCTGTGAAATCTCCTGGATTGGCTCTTTCCCTGCCTGCCGGGCCCGGAGGGGCGAGAGCCTGGGGAGGCGGCGGCATTGCTGATAAGCACATCCGTAAGAGGGACTGGGGGACAAGACGGGGTCCAACCAGTGCATCGTGTGGCCCACCCTCCAGGTGTCCTCGCAAGGCGGGGCAGCAGTTCTTAGTGGCCTCAGCATCCTGCGCTCGCCGGGCGTTCCTCCACCCCCCTGCCACCACTTTTCCATCCTCTGCCTCCCCAAAGGTGGACCTTCCTGTCTCTGTCCAGGCCTTCTTTGTTGTTGTTGTTGTTTTTTGGCCAGTCCTGGGGCTTGAACTCAGGGCCTGGGCACTGTCTCTGAACTTCTTTTGACTCAAGGCTAGCACTCTACCACTTGAGCCACAGCACCACTTTTTCTGTGTATGTGGTACTGAGGAATCGAACCCAGGGCTTCGTGCATGCCAGGCAAGCAATCTGCCACCAAGCCACCTTCCCAGCCCTATCCAGGCCTTCTTGCGCCTGCACCTGCCCCGGCCCCCTGCTCCTGGCATCATTTCTTGGCTGTCATGCTCAAGGCAGGATCCCCCTTCCACGCTGGCTGGATTGCTGGTGACTGTGGAAGCCTCCGAGGGAGGGGTGGGCTCAGGCCACGCCCCAGTCCCCCACCCATCTCAGCAGATGCCACCACCTTCCCCCCCGGCAGTCCCCAGACGCAACCATCACCTCCTCCTGCGTCCACATCCCCTCCTTCCTCTGCCTGTCCTTGGCTGTCCCCGCAAAACCTGCACACACCCCCTTCCCCAGGCCCCCTGCTGCTATGCTCCACCCTGCCCTGCTGGGATTGGGGCTCTCCTGCTTTCCTGCTGTCACCCCAGTGCCATCCGGGCCGCAGCCTCTGGCTGCGGTAGCGGCTGGTTCCCGTCCCTGGTTCCGGTTCCACATTCTATGCACTCCCAGCTGGCCCCATCCCACTCTTACAGGGCCGGCGCGGTGCGCAGCGCCCTTCTTAGGGCTCTGCCCTCTGCTCCCAGCACCCTCCTGGAACTTCTGGTTCTGATGATCCCACCCTCTTCCCTGTCCCCAGCCAAGAGACGGTGCTCGTTCTTGTGGTCATGCCCACGCTGCCTCAGTGGTCTGTCTTCTCTGATCCGTTTAATTTCCATCCTATGGGAGTGCGCGCTGTTCAGCCTGGCTCCCACCTCCCTCCTGAACTCTGATATGTGTGCTCAGGACAGGCCTCAAAACACAGGCCCCAAGCTGGGGTTGGGCTCCATGATGGGGCGGTGTAAGGGACAGCAGGCAGTGCCCCTCCTCAGAGGTGGGCACTTGGCTCTGTGGGGTCCCTGTTCCTCCTTCGTGCTCTTCAGGCTCCCCCAAGCCTCCGAAGCCCGTGACTGAACACTTCCCTGCAGCAATGCCCAAAGCACAAGTTAGCTTTGTTTTGCGGGTGCGGTGCTGGGACTGGAACCCAGGGCCTCAGCACGCGAGGCCAGTGCTCTGGCATGGAGCTAAGCCCTTCGCATTCTCCTGACAGGGCCTTGCCTGCGCACGCCAAGCCAGCAGCCCTCTGGCTTTGATTCTCTCCTAGCACTACCTGGCCCAGCCCAGCATCAACAGAGGGGCCCTCACACAACAGAACTGCGCTATGGCACCTTTCCGTGTGTGTATGTGTGTGTGTGTGTGTGTGTGTGTGTGTGTGTGTCCTGGGGCTGGAACTCAGGGCCTGGGTGCTGACAAGGCTGGTGCTTTACTGCTTGAGCCCCAGCTCCACTTACGGTTTTTGTGTGTTTAATTAGAGAGAAGAGTTTTACAAACTTTCCTGTCCGGGCTGGCTTTGAACCCTGACCCTCTGACCTCAGGCTCCTGAGTGGCTAGGATGACAGGCGTGCGCCACCGGCGCCTGCCTGTGGTTTCTCCTTTCAAGTCAACCCCTCACCACCTTGCGACACAAACCCCGGATTCTGCGCCTGTCCTCTCTCAGCCCCCTGGACTTGTTCGCAGCCACCTCCTTCCGGGCTGCCCGCTCTGGCCAATAAAGCCAATCAGCTTTTCTCTGTGCCACCAGAGGGCGCCCTGCCCTCTTTTGTCTCTGCCCGGGTGTCCGTTGCAATCCTGCTGCTAGTATGAGATCTAAACTCAAAACCACCCTGCAGGGTGGCACACCTATTATTATTATCCTTGCATGCATAGATTCAGCATGTTACAGAACCCAAGGAGACTCAGGAGCCAGTGCCAGCTCTACCACTCACTTGGCTGTGCAGCATCAAGTCAGTTACTTAGTCTCTCTGGGCTTCAGTTATTATGTGTATAAAATAGTAGCAAAACCGCTCCTGCTTCCCAGGAATATGGGCATCTGAGTTACTATGCGAAGTGCTGGGCACGATCAGGATGACTGATGTACTTTTAAAGTAAATAGAACACAGAGCAATGCCCACCATGGCTTTTCTCCTCATCTGACAGCACAAGTGGCAGCTGGTCCCTTGGGTGCTCCATGGAATGTGACTCCTGGGAGGCACTGGGACGTGTGGTGGCCTCACTCTAGCTTGTCACACACATGGAGTGGGGGCAGGGCTGACTCACCCATCACCCCTGGCACAAAGGCTCACAAATAGTAGATGCTCAAGAAACAAACACACCTGTCACTGAACATCAGGTTCCCTGATGACGAGTTATGCCACAGAGAAAAGAACTACAGGCCTCCAACGGGTGAGAGGAATCAGAACTAGCAAGTGTGCATACATGCTTGTGTGAGCACGTGTGTGTGTGTGTGTGTGTGTGTGTGTGTGTAGGGGGGGGGCTGTTTTACTGGGCTGGGGTCTTTCTGGAGACATCCAAGGGGAGAGGTCCTTGAGGCTTAGAAAGGAGGCTGAAGATGGAGGTGGAGGGCCAGGCTGGAGGTCAGGGGCCTCTGGTGGAGGCTGGACCAGTCCTATGGGGCAAGGAGGAAGGAAGAGCAAAAGGCGGGGGGCTTGACAGACACTAAGCTGTGTGACCAGGACAAGTATCCTCACTGCTCTGGGCCTCATGTGCTATCTGTACACAAGGATGACTGTCACACAAGGAGGGAGTAACAGTCTGTCCTGTCATGTGCTGGCACGCAGAAGTGCCAGGGGAGAGCTCCATCACACAGGCTGAACTAAAAAGGAAACAAGAGGAAGAGCTGGCACACAGGGGAGCCTACCTGAGTGAAAAATGGGACCTTGGGAAATGCAACAGGTGGGAAGAACAGCAGGCAGAATTTGGCAACAAAACACGGTGCTCTGCCATCTTGCCAGAGCCTTCATTTTCTGCTCTACCAAGGCAAGAGTTATGACTGTCAGCCATCTTTTCTGTGTGACCCTTTCTTCTTTCAAACTTGAAAAGTCACTTTAATACCATCTCTACCCTCAGTCTGTACAACAGGAATGACAATAAAATCTCCCCCCCCACCCCCCCCAATACAACTTCTTGCTGCTTCTTGGACCTTCATCTTCTTACTTTGGCCTCTCTACTACTGGGATTACAAATATAATGAGTGTCATCATGCCTAGCTCGTTGGTTGAGGTGAGGGTCTTGCTAACTTTTCCCCAGGCTGGCCTCAAAAGAGGATCCTCCTGTCTCTGCCTTCCCCAGTGGCTAGGATTACAAGTATGTAAGACCCAACCCAGACCTCATTCTACAAGTTGGGACCGCGCACCTACTATATTCCAGGCGTTGTTGTGGGTGTTGGGTGTGTCGGTCAATAAAACAAGGTTCCTGTTTGGCAAGGCTGGGTGTTTTCTGAGAATGGACATTGCAGTAACCTGGGGTCTTAACCAACCAACAGGGGCCTCTCGGAACTCACTTCCATCAATCACTGCTCCTACATCTATCATCAGAGGGGGCCGGTCAGGAAAAGAATCCTTATAAGACTACCGAGTGGCTGTTGCCTAACCTCGGGTGCTGCAGGCGTCCCCGCTGATGCCCGTCGGGCCTCCAGCCGGCTGCACGCGGGGAGGCGGCTGCGGGGGGCCGGGGAGCGGGGACCCGAACCTGCAGCGCTGGAGCAGCTCATTCTGCCCGCCTGATGCAATGTACTCCGTGGGATTTTGCAGCAGATCGCCTTCGGGACGAAGGAGGGGAATTTACTTCAACAAAAAGCTCGCGGGGCGCGCGGACCGCCGCACTCAAGACTCACCGGCCAGGATGCACTTGGCGGCCAGCTTCACCATGGCAACCGGCCCCTCCCCGGACCAGGCCGAGGCAGGCGGCGGCGGCGGGCTCCGCGGGGACGCAGGACCCCCGGATCGACCGCGGGGGACGCCGAACCCTGGACTCCCGGTGGGTCGGGGCTCCGCCGACTGCGAAGCTGGGAAGGAACAACCCGATCAACCTCACACCCCAAAGCGTCCCGCCAGACACGCAAGCTTTGCAACTCTTGCCCCGCCCTTCCCTCCTGCTATACCTCAAGTGGCTACTGCCCAAAGCTCCCGCCCACCGCAGGCACGCATAGACCTATTAGGATCAGGGGGCGGGACTAATAGACGTCGCACGCGAGACAACTGGAAACAGTGTCTGCTTTTCGATTTCACCCCGCTTGGCAAATGGTCTGAGATGATGTCAATCATTCTTATCTCCCGCCCCCACCCCCTCAGGAGAATCGGGGGAGGGAGGGAGGGAAAGAGTAACTCCATGGAGGCGGTGTTAAAAGAAGCTTTCTGATTGGCCAGAGGATGGTTTGTACCATCTTGGAGAGAAATGGGGATTCGGCTCATCCCTACTTCTCTCGGAAGTGGGTTGGCCCTCATGAGGGGGGGGTGAGGTTCCGGGAAGTCTAGCGCCGCGCCTGCGCAGTAGACGAAACCGCCGTGGCGGGAACGGCGCTGTCTGTGGAGTCGCTGCGCCGTCCTGCTCTCCCAGGTGCGGCTAAGAGCGCGGCTCTAGAATTCTTCTTCCTCTTCTTCTTCTTGTCATTATTAGTTTATTTCAGAGACAGAGAGAGAGGCGGGGGCGGCTGAGAAGGCCGGGGCGCGGGGCGCACAGGGGAGTCGCAGTGCCGGGAAGTGGGGAGGTGGACGCGCGTGGCGGGGGACACGCGCGCGGGGGGGGACACGCGCGCGGGGGGGGACACGCGCGCGGCGGCGGACACGCGCGCGGGGGGGACACGCGCGCGGCGGGGGACACGCGCGCGGGGGGGACACGCGCGCGGCGGGGGACACGCGCGCGGCGGGGGACACGCGCGCGGGGGGGACACGCGCGCGGCGGGGGACACGCGCGCGGCGGCGGACACGCGCGCGCCGGCTTCGCAGCTTACAGGGAGGAAGCTTACAGACGAGGGCCTCAGAGCCAGTACTGCACTGTACCTGCCCCAGCCACGGCGGGCCGGGCCCCTGCTGGGCCTAGGGGTGGGAAGTGCTCTCCAGCCATCTCCAAAGCCAAATGCTGCCCACTGGCACCCTAGAGGGGTCCACTTGTGAGCTCCAGAAAGTGTCTTTGTAACAGATACTTAAACATGTTGTTTTTTGCTACCAATTACCTAAAAACAAATGAAGCTTGACATCCCCGGAGTCCATTTCGTATATGCTTTGGCCTAAGCCATTATCTCCACTTTGCCATCACCTTGGGTTCCAGAAAAGTCAGGACTGAGCAATAGCATCTTTGATGACAAAGTGCTGCGCCCCCCCCCTCCATAATGAATAGCACAGAGCCTTGCAGGACAGACACCCCCCAAATGAGGATAATCACCTGTGGTGATCAGGCTGCACCCTGGAACTGGAGGAGTCATCTCCTGGGAACCAGATTTCTCTCCTAAAGTGACGTCTCCAGAATCCAGGAAAATCAGAACCAACACAATGACCAGTCTGGCCACACCTGTAACAGGGACTCCAACTATGTGTGTCTTTGTCCTCTGCCCCTTATTCTTTCTTTCTAAGCCTAACACTCATATCAGTACCGTGAAGACAGCTAGTGGTGAATGGAATCCATCTTCTTGTGGCAGCATGCCACATAAATATTTATTTATTTTTTTATTTAGTGCCAGTATTGGGGCTTAAACTCAGGACCTGGGCACTGGCCCTTAGCTTTTTCACTCTGGCTGGCACTCTGCTACGTGAGGCACACCTCCACTTCCAGCTTTTTGTGGTTAATTGGAGGTAAGAGTATTTTTCTCTCTGGGCTGGACTTGAACTATGATCCTCAGATCTCAACCTCCTGAGTAGCTATTATGGTATGAACCACTGGTACCTGGCTCTCATATTTCTTTTCTAATCAACTTTTCTATCATTTAGACTATGTCTCATGTCTTGCCCGACTTCTCTACTCATGGTAGATGGCTGTGCTTATTTTCTGGTAACATATTCATTACTCATAAATAAATTGAAAGAATAAAGAAAACTGTGGAAATAGTTGAGGTAATGTCTAAATGGAAGGGAAGAAAATAAACATGCCCTGGGGGATGATGGGAAGTCATCCTTTCTTCTCAGCCTACTTCCTCTGATTTGAAATGTACCATGCGTCCTAGCCTATGTATAGTATGATAGCATGCAGGCCAACTCTGCTTCTCCCTCTGGAAGGTTCTGGAAACACCAGCTGACTTCCTGGGGAACCTCTGGTTTTGCCATCAGAGGCCAGGGCCAAACCATTGCCATCTTCCTGGCCTGGACTCTAAAGCTAGAACCTACCTTATGTGAGGAACTGAGGAAGAAAGGGAACCATGACAGCACCCACTCCTAGTCAGCTCTGTGTGGCTATTACAAAATACCAGAGAGAAACGATTTACAGAGAAAAGATTTCTTTACAGAGAAAAGTTTCAGAAGTTTCAACCCAAGGTTGGCTGGATCCATTGCTTTGGACCTACGGTAAGGCAGAATATTACAGAAGCAGGAGCAAGGGGCAGAGGCTGCTCATTTCACGGCAGCCAGGGAGCAGAGAGGCGGGGAGGGGAAGGGGATAGAGAGAAAGGCAGGGGTCAGACCTCAAGGATACCTGCCCTATCCAAAACCAGGATAGTCTGGACACTGGTGAGCAACAAGTGACGCTGAGTGAGGGATGAGAAGGATTTGCATAGGCAGATTCCACTGATCATCACTGCCATACGTTGGCCACATTCTGCCTGCTCTCACTCTAGCTGGACTGGGACTGGGGGAGCCATCACACAACAGAAAGGGCCTCCCCTCTAAGATGCCTGTGCTAAGCGGCCACCTGCCCTGAAGGGGGCTTCCCACAGCTGCTTGGTGCCTTAGAGTGGTTGCCAGCCTCGTGCAGGGGACACACACACACCACACATACTGTATAGATAGCTGTCAAGTTTCCAGCTCTAAATGCAGAGTAAGACAATGTAGCCTTCGCTTGTGATTCATGACTAGCATCTCAGTAAAGGCCTCTTCTTCATGGCTCCTTCCTGCTTCTCCTCTGTCTCCCTCTTAGAGTCCTTCTCCAGGATAGCCTGTCCACTCTGACTGACCTCATTCCCCTGTACCTATCAGACTTCAGGCCACTGTAAGAGAATATATAATATAAATGACTTCAGAGGAAGGAGGTGTTTATATGAGTTAACTCACAGTTAGAGAGGCTTCAGTCCCCAGTCTCTGGCTCTGTTAGTTCTGAGACACCATGGTGGCGGGGGAGGGTGGCTGTGGTAGAGGCTGCTCACTTCATGGTAGCCAGGAAGCAGAGAGGAAAGAGAGAAAGAGGGCCCTGGGACCAGAGAGAGCCCCCACGATACACTCAGTGACCTACTTTCCCTGGCGAGGCTCCACCTGCTGAAGTTCCCAGAACTTCCCAAAATAACACCACCAGCTGGGGACCAAACCCTGAGCCAAACCAAAAATATATGAGCATTTTTGGAGGATATTTTCTACCCAAACTATCACACTCCTTAAAGGACCCCTTTAGTGAGCCATAGGAGCTCCACAGAGCCACAGCCCTGGGTCACATCCTCTTGGAGCCTTGTTTGTCCCTCCTCTTGAGGGAGGGCCTTGAGGGGCTATGTTTCTTCTTCCCAGGGCCATACCCTCCCTTCTGTGAGACTTTTCTGTGTGGTTCTAATCAGCCCATCAGGGGAGCATTTTTGGATCTTTCCAGAGAGATGAAAAATCCTTTTATAGTGAATTCTGCCTCCTCCCCCACAGCCTTTCCCCCCCCCCCTTTTGGTACTGGTTATTTTATTTTACTCTTTTCCTTAATCATGGGACTTGAACTCAGTGCCTGGGCACTGTCTCTGAGCTTTTTTGCTCAAAGCTAGCACTCTACCACTTTGAGCTACAGCTCCATTTCTGGTTTTCTGGTGGTTAATTAGAGATAAGAGTCTCATGGACTTTCCTGCCCAGGCTGGCTTCGAACCTTAATCCTCAGATTTCAGCCACCTGAGTAGCTAGGATTACAGGTGTGAGTCACCAGCACCCAGCTTGTATAGTTATTTTTGAGGCAAGGCCTTGCTTCCGGCCTGCGTTTCGATCTGTCTATTTGAGTTCCCGTTGTAGCCGAGAGGAGTGGCACAGGCCGCCACGCCCAGCTGCTTTCTGTTGGGAAGAAGTCTCGCAGGTCTTTTGCCTGGGCCGATCTGCGTTGTGCTCCTTTCACTCAGCCTCCCAGCTAGCTGAGGAAGGATAGGCGTACCCACCGATGGGTTGGGAAAGGGTCTGTCCATTCTTCTGCCTGTGTTGGTCTGCCTTCTGACTAATGGGTTGCAGGTGTGTCACCTGGGCCCACAGGCTTATGTGTCCTCAAGTTTTGGTAATGGTTTTTAATGAATTAATTAGTGTCAGTACTGGTGCTTGAACCCAGGGCCTAGCTGCTGTCTGTTAGCTTTTTCACTCAAGGTTGGTACTTTAGCTCTTGAACCCCAGCTCCGCTTCTGGTTTGTAGTGATTAATTTGAAGATGAATCTCACAGGCTTTCCTGCCCTGGATGCTGGCTTCGAACCTTAATCCTCAGATTCCAGCCACCTGAGTAGCTAGGATTACAGGTATGAGTCTCAAGCATCTGGAAAACACCAGGCAGGTAAGGGGTACAGTGAGCATTTAGAGGGGGTTTCCTGGCCCTGGGCCACCTCCCCTCATCTTGCTGCCAGACCAGGTAGACCTGGATGCTCCTTGCAAGAGGATGGGCCGACAGAGCTGCTTCCGCAGCCAGGGTGATGAAGCCAGGGTGTCAGGAAAGCATGGAGCTCCGGGCAGTACTGACTATCACTGTGGACTGCTCCACCACCCTGAGCTGAGCCTTGTTTCCCACAGCTCTGACAACAGTGTGCAATGAGCTGGGGCTCAGCAACGGTGCCCACTGATGGTCACAGTGTTCCCCACACAGCATGGGTAGCTGGGGTCTCCTGCACTATCAAGTTCCTAGGCATTGTACAGCTGGGGGCGGGGGGCAGGGAGGGCTGCTCCTCCCTCTGCCTGGGCTGGATTAGACCTCCATCTTAGTTGGTATAAAAGTAGGATT